TATAAATTAGGAATATAATAAAAAATGTTACTTTGCACAAGTGAAAAATGTGTGAAATAAAACAAGTAGTTATTTTGTTCAGGTCAATGACTGAAAAGAGTTCACAAATTTACTTGTGAGTTAATCAATTTTATAATGGACATGTTGATTAACTTTCTTAAATTTTCTTCATCTTTTTTTTCCCCTCTCTTCTTTCTTTCTTTCTTTCTTTCTTTTTCTCATATTTATCTCTTGACTTTAAATATTCGAGCAAGTTCTTAAAAGTCGACGTCCATCACAGAATATACGTGCATAATAAATAGCGATTCAAGCGATATATTCAAATTCACGATTTTTCCTTCAGATAAATCGAGGGAAAAAAGAAAAAAATTTTTAATGTAATTCAAGATTGACAAAGAATTGCGCGATTGACTATGATAAAAAGATGAAAAAATTGTTAACTATAATTTTTTGTTATCTATTTCGAAAATATTAATAAATATTATCAAGATTTGTTTCATGAAAATTTGATCTATCTATAATTTATCGATTTATCTCAAATTACTAAAGTCAATATTGAATCATCTATTGTGATCCTACTAAAAAACTTGAATCATTTAATGCCCGTCGTTAAAACCGCCCACAAAATGAAACGCGAAGAAGGTTGAGATATACAAACTTAGAGCCACTTATCAAAACGATATTAAGTCATTATTTTTCTGCTAAGTAGAGTGAAATTGTTGCTTTTACCATCGTTTTCACAAAAAAATTCGTATACAGAACTTCTCATCAAAGGGCTTTCACATTGATTGAATCCTTTATTCTGAATAATCTCACTTAATATATCATGTATTTATCAGTAAGGTAGAATTATCGAACGGATCGGCCCGGTTCTCGTAATTCTTAAGCAGATTTTCTTGTAACTATGTACATGTCAAGAGGCAATTTAAATTTTACACAAGATAGTTTCTATTTAAATAAATAGAAACTTTCAAGTCTAATCTAGGAAAATTAACATTAATATTACTCGAAGTAATATGTAGAATGTAAATGATTTGTTTGTTGTTTTTAATTTCACAGTAACACGGATTTTTACAAAGAATCAAGGAAAACCAGAATATGAGTGAACCGGATACGAGAAGTTTTGTTTTATTTTCAGTAATTGAGATTTCAACCAAGATATAATGCATAAGTTCATATTAAATCGACGTTCGACGAATTGTTCAGCTTACGTGAATTGTTTACTCTGTTAAACATCGATGAACTTAATGTATGAGAAAACGAATATATACAGGATATTTAACTTGATTGCTCACAAGAGCAAGTTTATTCAAACGAAACGAGCGTTAAAAAACACGTTTTATTATACGAGGAATCAATAAAATGTGTGTTCAATGTGGACAATAAATATTTTATATGTTGTGGAACAGATGTATTAAATTTACGATCGGTTGAACCTCTTTATTTTTCTCTGAATATCTCTGAATTGCAACCAACTTCGATTTTTATCGTTTGACGTAATTTTCATTATCGAATTAACGTATAACTAATCATTAATCAAAAACAACATTTTTTATATTTTACAATCTTTTTTTTTGAAATAATATTTGGCAATTATATCATTGCTTACGACCGATGTTATTCTATCATTATTATTATTATTTTTTTTTTACTAACTCCATACATATTTACAATTTGTCCATAGACATTTGGTAAATTGTTATATAAGTGAAAAAAGATAGCACGTGGACGGTTTCTCCAATGAAATAGCGTCGCTATTGTCATTTATTTCGATAAGGTTTAATTTTGTACTAGGTCTCCTGGGTGGATTCTTTTGAGCCTTCTAGGGATATATTGGTTGTAGTTATCGTTGGCTAGCGGGTTTATGTGCGTATCAATTCTTCTTTTTTATCTGCAGGTTGTCTTGGTTATTTCTTCTTCTATCATCGGAATATTTAAGTCCTTCCTTATTTCTTGTTTACGGACGTACCATGGAGCATTCATGATTGTGCGTAGGGTTATGGATTGTTGAGCCTCAAGCTTGGCAATGTGACTTTTCGCTGCTATACCCAATAGCGGTAATCCATAGGTCCACAGATTGGTTTTATTATTGTTTTGTAAATTATTAGTTTGTTCTCTATGCTGAGTTCAGATTTTTTACCAGTAAGCCAATCCATTTGTCTCCTTTTTAGACGAATTTGTTCAATTTTGGCATTTATATGCTTTTTCCATGTTAGTTTGAAATCTAGATGTAGTGAAATACTTAACCGAGTGTACTTTAATTTAATATAAATTTCATTAAAATCCATTTGCAAAAAGTATCAAAAATATTTACCAAAACTTTTCAAAGAAATTGCAAAGATGCACAATTTACAGCATTGCATTCTCTGATATTATTTATGAAAAAAAACTAGAAATAATAAATTTTTTAACATCTTCCGCAAATAATAAAGGAGAATTGATTACTGATTTTTTAACAGGTATATTATACAACCCTGACGCCCCCGCCACCCCTACCCCTTAATTCTTTAAGGTGATATTTACTACATTATTTTGTACTACGCAAGTAGTTGAAATTTTCAATAATTAACTACTTTAGTCGCCAATGATATTAAATTTTTTAACTCGGCATACTTCAATTCGTCTACAATTACTCATTCATACTATACCCATTGTCTACACCAGCGCCATTCTGGAAGGTTTTTGAACCATTATTTATTGCATACAACTGGATACTTTTTCAAATTTTCTCCCATATGAGGTGATTCTTCTTACCTCTACACTCCATAACAATCGTGCAACAACGGGAGAAAAAAGAATTAATTGAAGATCTATCAAAAGGAGGTTAGGCAATAGTAACGACGTTGAACGATTGTTTGGGGAACTAGGCAGCGGCTTTTAAGCGCCCAGCAGCGGCTTTTAAACGCCCAACAGCGCGTTCAGGATTAGTAGACGATAGCAGCGACGTTGAACGGTTGGCTGGGGAACTAGGCAGCGGCACTTAGATGCCCAACAGCGCGTTCAGGATTACGATGTAACGACGTAATGACGATGAAGATGTAAAAACGTACGACGTAAAAAAAGATGGATAGTTCAAAAAAAAGTTTAAAAAATGACGGAACATTCGGGGTCAAATGTTGTTGCAGAGGGGTAGAATGTGAGACGAGCGCCTCCATGCCAAATATTTAAATAGGCATTTGTGAAGAGATTGAACGGTGGGCCCCTGAATGGCTCAATGGATAAAGAGGAGTCGCTCGGAAAGCGAAAGATCCGTGGGTATGAGTCCTGGTTCAGTCAGTCCAATGGCCCAATTTTTTCACGAATCCTATACTATTGACATCAAAATAGTTTAAAAAACATCTTGAGAACGATTATCTTTGAATATGATAAGAATTTAAATTATTTAAAAATTCAATCATACAAATGACACGTATATGAATACATTTTAATTGATACGATAATAGGAGCAAGTTTAAGTGAAATTAATCGCCTAATTCGTATCAAATATTTTGCTATTACCTATATTTATGTTTACTACTTTGTAACGATCGTACTATTTGTTGTGTATCAAACAATTACATTGTATTAATGTCTCGTAGATTTTAAGTAAATTATTAGACTGACTATTAAATTCTTTTCAATTTATAATTTGTACTTTCACGTATGTTTACAGATATTTATATATCTATATCTATATATATCTTAATAATCATTTTTTAGAAGTAAAAATATATGATAGTGTTATTTACACGATACTGGAATTCGGCGTAAATTTTCTGATTTACTGAAACACATTGTAGAAGTAGTTATAGAAAGCTCCACTTATAAACTAATATAAAATCTCCCTTCTCGAGAGAACCAATTAAAGGAAACTTTAGAATCTCCAAACCTGTTCGATCATTTGAATCCATGATATAAAGCTTTTGCAGATCACGATGGTGATCTCTAGTCTTAGCTCTTAAAATTAATAGATCTCTGTCAGATATTATCCTGAATGATTAATGTTTATAGAATGGGTGTCTTATTTAGACTTATATTAATTCGAAAGCTACTTTTACGTCTTAGAATTAGAAAATAAAGTATATTATTATTATCCTGTGGTAAATAAATTGTCACCCACTAAAATATGTCAATTTTAAGGAATGAATGTAAGACCTCGAGTTCAAATGAGACTTGAAACACGTAATCAATTTTCTTAAAATATGTATATTTTCCATTAAAGTGTATAATTCAGTTAATACATGAAATAACTGGATATTACTTGAAATAACTACGCGTTTTGGGAAAAGCACATAATTATAAAGAATTTTACTATACATTTTAACTAACAATAAGTATTTTATAAAATAACTTTTAGTAATATTGTATATGTGAATTCACGAGAAACTGATAATTGAGTATGCAATTGAAATTTGATCTGTCCTCAAAGTCTGCTCGTAGTTATCACTTTATATCACTTTTATGCACTTTGAAAACAAATGTTTTATTATTTCTTCTATTTTATCGGATTAAATCTTCGGAGCAAATATGTCAATTTGATATTATAACTTGTCTCTCATGAATTCATATACATATTACATTGTTTAAAATAAATAATTCTGCAATATTTCATACTTCAACTGCTCGGTATAATTATTTCATACAACAACTAATTATTTCATGAATTAATGGATTTCACACTTGTAACATGTTCATTAGATCTTTTATCTAAATACAAATGATTAGGGTATTCTTTAATAATTAATCTTACATTGGAACATATATTTGAGATTATCATTAGGCATAATGATCATTTTTTGAATAAACACCTATCTATGTATAAAATAAAAAAATCTCTCATAATATGAAAAAAACAGACCACCTCCGGCGAACACCTCCGGCGGTGACACTAGCAACGTTGCTGACGCGCACGCTATGCTATGTTCCCCTTCTCGTTTGTTCATTGAGTTCCCACCACCCGTAGAATGCTCCCCCACTACTGTTACTCGATCCTCACTCGCTCGTCATGCACTTCGTCGACGTACCACTGCTACCACTGATTCTTACCAGTAAGTTACGAACCGTGCGGAGACGTATATCGTTTTGTTAGTATTTACTCTTTCATATCTTCTTTCTCGCTTACATTTGACCCACAAATATTCTATTCTCGTATTAGTACCTTCTTCCTTCCTACTCTTCATTTTCCTTACTCTTACATTTGCATAATATTATTTTTCTCGCGTATTATAATTGGCTTATCAAATTATCTTTTTTCTCGCTTTGTTTTCCTATCTGCCTGCCTGTTTATGTCTACCTGTCTGCCTGGCTCTCTCTATCCATATATCTATCTATCTATCTATCTTTCTCTCTCTCTCACACACACACACACTCTCTCACTTTTTATCAGTGTTTTATCTATTTTTTAACATCGAGTGTCTCTTACGTGAAACGTGTTTGCGTGAAGCGAATTACATTCGGGTCCTTACTAGCAGCAAACTGAGGTTTGATTACTGCGGTCTCTCGTCGTTTCCTAATCGCAAAAGACAGTTTTGATTCATATGACTTATCTTTTGGCAAGCGCAGCATAAAACCTGTCGCGTGGCAATACAAAAACGTTTCGTGTGTTGTGTTTCCCCACAGTTATAGCAGAAAACATTTGGTTTACATCGGGAATAAAATCTGGTTTGTGACCACGACGAACGTTCGTTCCCCTTGTATGTCCGTCGTTATTTAATTTAATTGTATTTTATTTATTCCAGCAATACGAACAGCAAAGTTCTTTTATAGTTTTTTCCTAGTCAAACTTTTAAAGTGTTTTGACGAATTCTTAGGCTTCCGCGTTAACGCATTTCCGTCTTCCCTCTCTTTCGTTCGTGTTTCATGTTCGTCGCGCGTTTTATCTCGCATACATTTTAAATTCGTTCTTGGCTGAACTATAACGTTGCTTCTTTTGAGTTTCCGCCAATTAACAATATTTAGTCGAAATATTAATAAACGATACGAATTAATGATTATAAAAATGTAAACGATACTAATAGTTGAATTACTACTAATTGTACAAGTTTCAACAAAAAAAACGGATCGCGCTAAGACGGTTTTATATAAGTCTAATTATATGAGAGAGATTAAAAATATTTTTAAGTAACAACGCAAACTCAAAGATGATTATCGGTGAAGTGAGGTTTTTTCTCGATATATTAATTAACAATTAGGATTTCAGTGTACGCAAATCCGCGAATTAGGTGTCCGCGTTATTCTGCTTTTTCCTCAGGCATGTCGATACATTGCCAGTCATTGTCGATAATAGGAATCAGCGCCGTCGATAGCTGTAATATATATATATTTAAGAATAGCACGGACTATCACAATTAAAATAATACGTATCCTTTCATAATGCAAATTTTTTACGTTAGCGCTCAAGGTGTTAAAGCGAGCGCAGCGACGTCGAGAAACATTCCATTCCATATTTTCCTGTTACAATAGCGAAAGAATTGAAAATGTCGAATGTACGTATAGAGTAGTTGCTGTCTATTTCCTTCTCTTTCTCTCTTTCTCTCTCTCTCTCTCTCTCTCTCTCTCTCTCTTTCTCTCTCTCTCTCTCTCTCTCTNTCTCTCTCTCTCTCTCTCTCTCTCTCTCTCTTTCTCTCTCTCTCTCTCTCTCTCTTTCTCTCTCTATCTCTCTTTCTCACGCACATACATATGTAATTATATTTACTTTCCTTTGTTTTTTTTACTCTTCTTTTATATTCTTCCGATTTTTAACATTAGTTATAGGAGGACATTTTAGTCATACCCAATTTTCCTGCTCGCACTACGTATATTGCTACGCAAAAATATGGTAAGTTTAATTACTAATTATTGTTGCAATTAGATAAATTAACCATTTATTCATATCAGTCGTATATCGTCGTATTCGTTCGTATCACGTATCAAAAATTTTTATCTCATTTATTTTTAATCGTGAAACCTTGTATGTGACCATTATCAAGTCGTAGTAGTGTTTTTTTTTTGCATCAAGTTTTCTAATGAAATAATGGAATTATACCAAGTGGATTTATGAATAGTGTGAAAGTATATACAACGTTTCATTTTGAATATAAAGTCAGTCGTGTGAACAGGTCAATATAAATAATCGAAGTAACGTGAATGGAAAGATTTATTAAATACGACGTGTTAGTTATTTTCTAACATAAGTACAATCATTTTCAAATATTTTTTTGGCGTCTTTGGTTACTACGTTTGCTTTTCGTTGGATGCGCGCGCCTGATACTACGAGAATGAAGCTCACGTGCTACATAAATCTTATATTCTTAAAAGAGACATTTGAGTCTGACTGAAGGTTAAGAACATTGTATTGTATGTAAAATGTATTAGCTAAAGTATTATTTTTCTTCTTTTTCTGTAATTATCTATGCGCTTCCTTGTTTGTCTTGTTCGCAAGAAAATTTTAAATTCTTTTTACGAGAAAATTTTTTTATACATTTTCATATATTCAAAGTATTAAGATGCGTCTTATTTAAATAATTTGCATATAAGTTTCATTTATAACAGTTATTTAATCGTTATTATCAACACGACTTTATTATAGTATTGAAACATTAGCATATTTATAACAAAAAAGATCATTTTTATAATTAATTGATGATGTCAATTTATCCTAATGTCCTCATTATTTTTTTGTTCGCTAATAATTTTACTTACTATTATCACAATTAATTGTTAATACTTTTAACTTTAATATTATTTTGATATAAATATTTTTTCGTTTATTTTTATTTTTGTTGTTATCTTACCGCGTTGCAAAATCATACTAGGCATTACTGTATCTATGTTCAATGTGATCTTACATATCTTCGAAGAGATTACAAATGTGAATTAAAAGAAAAAAGAATATTTTTGAAAAAACTTATTGCTTAGTTATGATAAGGAGAAATGTTGAGTAATGATACTTAGTTACTAGGTGCTCTTAACGCTATTTTTCGAAAAGAAGGAAAGTTTGCCTCTACTCTTTCACGTTGAAATATAAGAACTACATAGAGGATATAATCCAATATATATATAAACATAATCAAAGAGTATGTTTCTATTTCTCTTTCTCTCTATTTTTCTTTTATTATCGAGAATTTTATTGCAATACTACAGATCGATCCTATTGCATGGGTTTCAAATTCGTGCTTTTAAATCGATTTTGTTTTGTTTTGTTTGAGAAAGTATATTTTTATTTCAGTCTCTTTTTAACATACATAAAATAAGTCAAAAACAGTGTATAAATCTCATCATAGTGTTTAACGAGGATAAACATCACATCTTTGCAAATATTCTATTCTAGGGTTTGTTTGCCACTGTGGCATTATAATATAGATAATAGTATTATGGGAAAAATTTAGTAAAGAAAACCACATAAACCTAACATTTGCTTTTAAATCGATTCGTTCGTGTCACGGTCTCAAGGACAATGACTATCTCTTGAACTTTTGCTGTCGATTCGATTCTCTTTTTCTCTCTTCAATTTTTTTTTTCATTTGCTTGAAAAAGAAGGTCGTCCTTCTATTCTTTATGTTGGGACTCGTTGATCTTTTGAACCTTTGATCCAAATAGCTTGATAATCAGAATATCTTAAATCATTCAATTTTTGTATTCACACACACACACATTCGACAAAATTTCTGAACAATTTATCTTTTTATAATTCTTGAGTTTCTTCTTGTTCTTTTGCTGCCTTCTTATCTCTCTTGTATTGAACATATCTGTATGTATTCGTTTCTTCTATAACTTTTTTTCTATATCTCGCTTTCTTTCTCTCTGTCTCGTTTCTATCTATCTGATTACGATTAACTAACATAAACTACAAAACTTTATGACACAGATTTTTACGCTATAGTTGGTTATGTTTCATCATTGACGTTACTTTATAACTGTAACAAACTGCCATATCCGAGATTGAGAAAAGTTGTAGTTTCGAGAGTTGTATTTTAAATGTCTCGTTAAAGTATTACGTGATTACCGGCTTGGTCGAGTTGTATTTTTTAAAGTCCCATGAATAATTGAGAAGTTTTTAACGCGAGCTCAATAGAACAACATCGTCAAGATTTAATGGTTCAAAGCATTAATGGAATTCTTGTTCAATAGCAACAAATCATTTACTTGGTATTGCTTAAATTGTCGAATACGATGGTGTAAATATTGTGGAGTGTATTAAAATGAATTTTAACTGATATAACGTTAATGTATAAAACGGCAGATGAAAAATTTGGCAAGTGCATCCAAAATTAATTTCATATTTAATGATCAACGGATATACTATCGAGTTTTACGTTTATCTGCAGATAGTGATGAACCGTTTACATATTTTATATATTATAATGATAAGTAATTTTGGCGAAAGCTCGACACGATTTAATAAAACGATAATAATTACTCACAATTGTTTTTTTTTTTTTTAAATAAGAAACATGCGTTTACACTTATTTTATATATTCTCTTCAAACTGATACTTTTTATTATTTACTTAGATTTTTCTTGCAAATTAATTCTTCATTCGCTCGTATTATATTCAAAATGTAAACATAATGTATAAATGTTAGAAATTATTTTATTCGTAATTATTGCAAGCAATGAATAATTTTGTTGTTTTTTTTATTTTTTACGTATGTAATTAGTGATCTACATGAATTATTTGATTTGAATCGACTACTAATTGTATCATATCATGTGGTGCATGTAATAATTTCGTAAAATTGATAAGATCTGAGGGATAAATGTGATATACTTTTATAGTACACTTTCCAATGAGATTATAATAATCGAAAATAATGAGTGCCAGAGCAGCCGTTACTCATAATATCAGCGATGTTATTATAGAGGAATTATACACGCATAATAAATAACGAATAGTAGGGATACGTACGAACGTTAGTTTTTATCAGTTCGACTTTTTTTTTTTTTATCTCTACAATATCTACGAAAACGTTTTGTTCTTCGGCAACTTGAAGTATTTCAAATAAATAAAAAATTTACTCTCGAGTAGAATAAATCTACTAGCCAAATCGAAATAATGTCAATCAATTGCGTAGTAAACTTTGTATTTGAAATTATTATCTACAGTTATTTGAATTAATTAACATTTTTTACTTGCTTGTATTCAACTTTAACAGATTAATTTGTTAGTTTTCTTGATAAATCTCACGGTTGACGTAACAGTTAATCCATTAAAATGTTTTAATGTGTTAGATTCGAAAACAGATAATACATCTCTACGTTTCTTGTAGGTCTAAAGGCCAAGGAAATATAACATTATAATGATTTGAATTGAACCGATATAAGAAAATGATAATTTTTCATTAAAATCGACCGACAGTAGCTGAGAGTACAAAGTTCGAGAATTATGCAGTTATTGATGCTGTGTTTATGTAAACGACAATCACAACGTTATTATAAAGTTTACCTTTATATTTTCCACGTTGGAAATGGTAGATAAATTTGCAACTAGTATTGTTTAATATATGAGTGCATAAATTACATGTAAATTTATCTATTTAACCTGTACAGATACATTAATTTACTCACTTTTAATTTATAAAACACATATCATATGCTTACGTTTTATATAATACATGACAGTAAGTTCTAATATAAAACATTATGATATTTATGTAGTTTTATATGAAAAGATCAAGTAGAACACAATCTTGTAATACATATACATATATGTATAATTTTTATTGACACACTTTTGTTTGTTATGCTCGGTCATAATTTTTTATCTCATTCATCACGTTTTTTTAAAGGATAGAATAAAATATTCCTTTTAAAAGAAATAGAAAGATAAGCGCTTTACAAGAAAAATAATTTAATCGAAATTCATGTTTTTTTTACTTCAGTTTTTTCTTTTATATTTTTTAATGCAACCACATAAAAATTCCATTATGTAACATCAGCAAAATGTATATTTTTATTCATACAAAAATAACATTAAAAATAAAAAATAAAATAAAAAATAAAAAATAAAAATTTAATTTATTAAAAACTCTGGCGTGGCAAAATAATTCAATAATAATAATAAGTAAAGAGAGTGTTTTATATAATAATAAGAAAAATTTAATTTAGGCATTATTATTTGGAAAATATAACGATTCCTTATAAGACTATTTTACTTCTCATTTCTTCGATTTTAGTTGTAGATTGATAATACTCCTTAATTTAACATTCTCGCATCTATTATGTCGTAATCAGTAAAGAAAGTAATTATGTCGCTGTTCGCTTGTATTGATTTTTTGTGAATAACATATTACCATGAGAACATTGTCTAAAGACAAAGTATGGGTCAATCAATCGATAGCGTTTTGCAGGACGTATGGTGTTGCCGTCTTTCTGTTGTGTTTGCATTGTAAGTGAAGTTAATGTAGCGTTTGTGTTGGATAATCACGGTTTACTTGCTACTTTCAGAAAAAGCGTTTAAACCACCCTAACTTTGTGTCGATTTCTTCGGCTGAGTAATGCATTCTACTTACTTCCCTTTCTCTCTCTCTCTCTCTCTCTCTCTCTCTCTCTCTGCTTACGAACAAAATTTGTAAATAACTTAGTATGTCTTCCTTCTTTGAATGCTATGCACTTGGAACCCTTTGAATGCCACGCTCTTGTACAAATAATACTTTCATTCTTTTATTTCATTTTCAAATAGAACAAAAAATTTAAACGAAAACAGATTAATTGTCAAATTCGGTACGTTATCAGGCTAAACGCAATCCCGGCGTATTCTTATCTTTTTATTTTTATTCTATGTGTTTTTTTTTTTTTTTTTTTTTTTTTTTTTTTTTTTTTTTTTCAAATTATTCTCGTTAAATATCAACCATCAAGAAAGAGTGATCGTTCACGGCGAATAAAATGATCGTTACTTAACGTCTCTCGAAATTACAAAGTATCTACTAAGAATAAGGCTAGTTCATTATTTACATCTGAATTGCATGGTACGAAAATCGTATACGGATATTGCAGCTAATGTATGAATTTAATCTTATAAGGAAAAGAGTCAAACCTTCTGTTTTTATTAAATGCCAATGATTCATTTGAAATGATCTTTTAGAAGTAACTATTGTTTCTCTACAACTTTATTATAGTCGATGAAATATCTCTTTTACTTCGGATACTTCATTTAATCCTGCAAATTTATTTTGATTTGCTTTACTATTATGAATAATTCAAGGTACAAGAAATGAACGTATGTATGTACTTTAACAAATATATTCATAAATCATACTTCTTCTCATTGTGCTCATTTTTCAGATGGTTATTACTTTTCTTCTCATTTTGAAATATACTTTTCGAAATAAAATCAACAGTTTGCAAAACATATAAATATATATAGGTATATGTATGAGAGTAAATCGATGAATCTTCGGCATGATTCTAATATCACGTATGCAACAAATGGATCGACAAGATTTATCAGAGTTTTATTTTTTATTATAGAACGGTGATAACAACTTGTTGCCTTTCGAGTATGTTTCAATATTGATTGACATAACAAATCAGTAATAATAATATCGAGTCGCGTCATGTTATGTTTTAAATTTTAATGTTTATCTCATAAAAGTTGTTATTCGATAAGATTTGAAAGTAAAATTAGTCTATCGAACTAGTTATATGATTTTTATTATACATTGGAAAGAATTTTATAAGAAAATCGGTGATTAGTTACAAGATATCACCGATAATAGATGGATTATATAAGATTCTTTACGAGTTTGTTTCAGATCTAAAAGAAGATAGCAAGGATTGCTATCACTGATATCTTATGTACGTTTGATAATACAATATTAATTACATAGTGCTTATGAATGACAATAAAGTTCGCCTAAAAGTTCTTTGTTAGTTTTCAATTCGAAAGTAATCGGTGAAGCGTTAGGCAAAAGAAGAACTAGAAAAAAAGAAAGTTGTGGAAAAAAAAAAGATAGGAAGAATAAACTAAAAGTGCAACGAAAAAAATAAATACGAATAATCGTGAAAAGAATGTGAGAGGCAAGAGGAATCGGTGAGTCCAGGTATTGCCCTGTGATTCACGGTCAGTTTTAAAATGGATCACGCGAATCAAGCTGAAACTGACCTTATGAAAAATAACGCGTTTTCGAACAAGTCTACAGGCTCGCGCATAACGAGAAATTGTTCGCGATGTCGAAATCATGGATTAAAAGTTTCCCAGAAGGGCCACAAGAAGGATTGTATGTACCGAAATTGTGTTTGCGTATTTTGTAAACTTTTTTCGCCTCGACGGAGCACGAAGTCAAGACGTATTCGACTAAAAACTCCCACTTTAGACAAGGTAAGACAACCATTTTTATCAACTTCTTTCTATCCTAGGAAATTATCGTTGCTATCGTCCTGCAGAATTTCAATATTTCTGTCAAATCATTCCAAAATAAAATTGTATAAAGTATTTAATTTACAAGCAATTGAAACCAACTCGTAAAGATTGTTATTCCTGTTTTATGATTTTATAATCAAATCGGTGAAGAGTTTTTTTTTGCTGACAGGATTCAACATCACTCTCAATAGACTGGTGGTCCTTTGTCGGCTCGTGGCCACAATCCGCGAAGAATCTCAAGGGAAGTTATGACAGCAGCAGCAGCGACTTGTCGGTCAGCAATCACGAAAGCAACGAAACTCAAGACGGGAACAACGATGTTACCAGAATTACTTCCTCAACGAAACCAGTATCTTCTAAAAAGTTGCCTTCAGCAACAAAGTCCTTGCCGCAATGGCAGAACGGTGAGTTTAGTTAAAATCTTTTTTTTTTTTATCGATTCTGTAACATTGTAACAATGTTATATCGTACAACGTATCAGTCGTGTCTTTAATTTTTTTTCTATACTTTTTTTCCTATTACCTTAACCATGTCTAATCTTTTTTCGGACTAATTATGATTTTAAATTTAACATGTTGATTTGCAATCATGCACGACGCCATCGTGTGATTGTGAAATAAATAATTTTTGATGAAAACATTTGGAGGTTAATAAACATAGTAGAGGTTGAACATTTGAACAAGTTTGAACTGTTGTTTCTCGATTGTTTTAGATTGGCCAACTGGCTTTTTGCCAGTAGCGAATGAACGATTTAGCACTTAATAACATTGTCTACTATTTGGCTACGTTACTTTTTACCCTACTTCTTTATGTTTGTTTATTTTATTTCTTGCGATAAATTACATTGTCTTGTTATTTTTTATTACTTTCGGTTTTGCTTATTAGTCTGTTATTTTTCAAATAATATCACATTTTTTCCAACCTATTTTTCTTTCTTTTTCTTTTATATTAATTATGACTCTTCTCTCTGTAGAAAACATAATAATAAGATAGTCGTATAGTAGAAAATAAAGGCTATCTCATATTGGATAATAACACAGCGAACGGCATGTAATAACTCAAGAATTTGCATCCCAATTTCAAACTGTTTTTGAGCGTTACTTCCTTAATTAACTTTTGAATTCATATGCTCGCCATAACATGGCAGATCTGTTTAATTTCTCTTCTCATCCGTTTATTACCATGCACCTGCTTATCGATGAATATACATATATAGGTTGCAAAGCAAGTTTACCTACCTGTTGCACGCTCTGATTCATCTATTTGCTCTTCTTCCTTGTTTAGCTTCTTCCTCAGCTTATTTCTCTTTGCTTCGATTTAAATTTACCTTGAACCGAAGATCTTTTTCTTCTACTTTATTTTATTTCTTTTATTAGTTTTAATTTTTATTTCGACCAACGCGTTAATAATCTTTTCATAAAAAATAGGAAAGAAAGAAAAATTTCAATATTCCAGATCCTTAATTGCCTAAACATATTAGAAACAACTTTGAATATTTTTCTAAAGATTGATCGATGATGTATTAGATTAAGAATTAGTAGTTTTTCTTCTAATTGGGTACTTTCATACGTTTAAATGGTTGTACTATGATTATTATAATTTGTAACACGATTTAATCTTTTTTACGATCTACACAGTTTGCACGGTAATCGTTCTGAATTTTTTTCTATGTAATCTGTCGGATTTTACTGTACGACTTTACGGTCTGAATTTACGTTCTATGTAATTAGTTTATTGCGAATTAATATTACGAGCAATGCGTACGATTCGTTTGATAGAAATTTAAAAATACGTCAAAAACATAATTATGAATAAAGAGAATATCTATGAATACACTTAATTCTGTTTTTACACGATAGATACGTTCCCGAAGACTACGTGTAAACAAAAATTCATGTAAAAAAATATATTTGTAAACGTCACTTTTGTTGAGAATCAAATCCAAAAGAAATTAGAAAGTTAGAGGAAAATTAAAAGAAATAGAATTAAGCGAGCGTTATGCATATATTTACTTTCGTATCGTTGAGCTGCATAATTCCGTTGGTAAAAACTACATATTTCATCCGTCTCGTTAAAATACAAATTAGGAGCTGCAATTTTTCCTGCAAATCCGGTCGTTACTTAGTTTTAAGGCATTCTTACTCCATATATATATTATAGTTTTCTTTTTCTCCTTCTAACGTTCTTTCTTAATCGCTTATCTCTTTCTCTATCTCTATTTTTTTTCTCTCTATCTTCCTTGTCTTTTTTCATTTCTCAATCAAGCCATCCAGTACGATTGGTGCAATTGAAAATAATATTCTACTTCAAGTCAGTTTAATTACATTTTTCGGAAAAAAATTTGTCTGTAAATCATATCGCTATACTGAAAAGTATAATAATAAAGTCAAATAATTACTGAATTAATTATAATGATGGAGATAGTGAAATTTCTTTCATTACAAACCAATCAAGAACAAAGGATAGTATTCAAAGAGTCTTTTTTTTAGTTAAAAAGATTTCATAATTTGCATGCAAATTCATCGTTATATATGATGCTCATAAAATATTTAACTCAATTTTATCAACTTTTTTTATTAATTGTATTGATAAAAGGAATTTTAGATATGTGCGGATGCATAAATTTCATCTCTGTGACATATAACTATTATCGTATAACTCAACATCATAAGATATAACTCATTCAATTCATAAATCAATATTTGCAAGTTTCAAATAAAACGTGCCTATTTTATAAATACTCACATCTTTAATGAATTGCTACATACGAAATATTCTGTAATGTTGGACGATCTCAACTGAAAGATCATCATTATTCAATGAACAACGACGTCTTGTTTGTCCTCATTCAAATGTGAACTCGGTTTCGTTTTTTCCTCATTTTCTCCACATTCAATCAGCTATTTTCTTAATTTATTTCAATCGTCTTTGAGTCTTAAGAAGGGAAAATATTATGCGCGGTAATCGTGTACGATGAATGATTTAGTTCCCGTAGAATAAAAATGTTGCAGTTTTACACTCATATTTGCCGCGTGACGAGAGACAGTTATCGTTTTTTCAATCTTTTGAAATCGTTTTCTCAGATCATAAAAATTAAATAACATATTTTAACGTTCATCATTATAATTGTTATTACTAGTATAATTAAGGTAATCAAGGTTCTTTACAACTAAACACACACCAAATTTATACAAATTAACATAATTAAGAAATTGCATAAAAATATATTATGTACAAAGTAAAATTTTGCAGTAATTCTGTAGCAACGAATTCGGTGTTTCTTTAACAAATTTAATATTTATCTATAAAGTGTAATATCATATAACATTTATTTTGTATTATTTAAATTTTTCTTTGAATATATTTAAATATATTAAGTAAAAATGATATAATTAGTTGATGTTGATAGAAACAAGATCGATTTATATCGATGATATTTAATTCAGGGACGGATTCTAATGTATCTTCGGATGCATCTTCTTCGACTTCGAACAACGGCAACATCTTGCGTACAGCAAAGACGTGCTCACTCTGCCGCAATCACAATATTGTCAATATTTATAAGGGTCACAAGAGGTATTGCCAGTATCTATATTGTTTTTGTCCACCTTGTTGTAAAACCCGTAAGAACCGGAAAATAATGGCGGCACAAACTGCAGTTAACAGGGCACGTATCCAAGACGAGGCACAAATAGAAAAGTTATATAAGGTGAGTAACGTATTGATTCGGTTTTTTTATCTATCCAATTTTATTCCTATTAAAATGTACGTTAAAAGTGTATATTGTTTATTTGTTGACTTATAGCTGATGAAGCCGAAAATACCTCCGCAACAAGTAAATCATGTACCAACTATTTCACAACCAGCGTGGAGCGTCGAAGGCAATTATGGTGGCGATGGCATTAACAATTTAGTTAATACTCCGACTCTGAGAAAAGTGCCAATTGATCCAATGAATCCTTTTTTGATCGATTCGATTCAATCAGAACCTGGTAAGTTGATTTTTTTCATTCTTTATTTTAGTGCTTTTTTTGTTCTAAGAAAAAAATATTGTTTATTTGACAGTAATCTGTTAACACTGTTAATGTATATATACTTTGGGTTATGAGATAAATTTTAATTTTTGTTATGATCAGTATATACTTGTCATACGAAAACAAAACTACCTTTTGATATTTTACTAAAATCTGAGGAAAATATTCATCAATTTAAGAAATTTTAAAGTATTTCCGATAACAACAAATTAAAAAGATTTGTCTCCTGTTCTGTTTTATCTTGAAATTTCATTAAAAATATTATTAAGTATATGCCAAAAATTACAAAGTTTTGCATTTATTAATAAACATAATTCAATTCTAAAACAATTGCACATACATATTATGTGTTTGACAAGTATATTAATTTTATATTATAAAACATAAATATATATTTTGAAAATAGAGCTATAAAGTTAACAAGTAAACTCGATACGTTAAATAATCGAGAAGATCAAGAAATTAAAGATATGTATTTATAAATAGAAATCTTGAAGAGTGAACAATCGGTTTTAATTCGTACGGAAGTTCCAAACCGTGCTCGATTCGTGCGAGTTTGTTGAGGAGGGAGGAAGGGTGCACACTTATAACGTCGTTCACAGTGATCCCAACGAAATTCAAGCGACTCTTTCACTTGACAACCCGACCGAATGTTAACCCTGCTTTTACGAGCGTCTTCATTGGTTGCGGAGTCGTTCGAAGCCGGCTAATATAATACGAACTTATAACCAAAGCCGAAACCTAGGAGCCTCGATTTTTGCTTTTACGAGCAGGCTCGTTTTTAAAAGTTATCGTTATTTTGCTCGTTCTCGGTTGAAATAGTTTGTTCACGGACATATAAATGACCTCTTGAAGAAGTAGCAAGCGTGGAACCCGTATTCGATGGTGGCTTCGTCACGATGTCACGGAATCTTCATTTCAAAAAGATTCTTCCCGTCGCGTTTATCCAATTCTTTTTATGTCGACGATCGAAAAGACTTTTTACTAAAATCAAGACGTTTCGATGGGTAGGTGTCCTCCCATGAGTATCTTACTTTTTTCTTAATAATTACAAATTAACAGATAAGTTTCATAAATCTTTATCAAATATTCAAGATTTTATTCAAACTAATACGACCAATTGAACAAAAACGCGTGTTAAACAATGAAAACTTTATATACCCAACTTATAAATTTTAAGTATTTGCGAATGAAAATATATCAGTTTATTTCCTTGCATATATTAACGAAGTAAGAAGATCATTTAATGTTATACCTTAAGCAGGACATTTTCAGATTCTTTTCCGTCTGGTTTGTTTTTGGTCTTTAAGTTAGCTATCGGAAGAGATTTTATGATAGCTGTTCGCAGGAACCCTCGTAAATGGCTAATTGATTTACAATCGACGCATTTACACAGATTCGCGATAATGAAATTGATGCGAAGTCTCGATGTCTCAGTTTTTGACATCGTTGGGCAAATTTACCTTTAGGTGGAATACTAATAGTAGTAGTAGTAATAATATTAATAGGAAAAGTGCCATGAACGTAGATAATACGTCGAAAAGTGAAACAAAAAAGAAAGGAACAAGATTATTCTGAAGTGTGCTGGTTTTATATGTGTAATAATTGGATGTGTGTGTGTGTATGGGGTGGAGTTCAACTTGAGTGCTTGCTAGTGTTAGAAGGGTGTCGTCGCTGAGGAGATGAGAGGATTTGAGCGCGTGAGGGGTGATTACGGGAAAGTATATGGGACTGTAAAGTTTCCATTTACGAGCTTACATTTCGAGACATCGAGTAGGCGCTTTTAATAATGCAAGAGTCGTTTGTTATTATGCGAGGAATGTCGCTTTCGCGTAAACGTTACTCATGTTTGTGTGTTGGTACTAATCTGTCGAGTGCTCGATAAGTATCGGAGAATATTTTTTACTTTTCACGCTATTCGCATCGTGGAATAATCGTTTATGTCAAGACAATGTTTCTTTTTTTCTTTTTTTTTTCTAGATTAGATATCTCTTATTTCTTTTTTTATTTTACACCTTTATACGCAGCTAACAATTGCCTTTTATTTACATTGTTTCACATATTGTGCTTATTCGACAAACATTGTTTATCGTTTTCACTTACCAATGTGTTCATCTCTTATGTATTTTCTTAGAAATACACACGTTTAACTTTCTTAAAGTGAAAAAAATGAAAGTATAAATGGCATTTGTTTATTTAATTACATCCTATTGTTTTTTGTGTAATATAATGTCGAGTTTATTTAGTAGTTAAATCAGAGAAAAACGGTTAAAATCGTTTTCTAGTTTTATTTTCTTTAAACTATCATGGAAATTTGTACAATAACCGAAGAACACTCTTTTCATTCTTCGGTTTTCAAAAAAGGCTCGCTCGTAAATCACTACAAATCTCATAATCGGCTTCCTTTTTACCCCAGTTTGATTATCGAGGCGATGGCTTCTCGTTGACAGGCGGTTAACTTTCGAAATTTCTAATTTATTTTATACGATACTTTCTGTGAATATATATAAAAAAGAAAACGTTAAAAAAAAAAAAGAATAGAAAGAGGGAGAGAGTGTAAAAAAAAATTAAGTACATTTAGTGTTATACGATACGATAGCCTAAAGTTTTTGAAATCACAGGATAACATGGGGTATTATTTATGGTCTTCTTGAATTAGGGACGAACTATACACAAAGAGTTCACGAGTTTGTTCGCGGGTAGGTCAAGATCTTAAAGGATGAAACCCTTAGGTTATCGTTCTGGTCAAATGACTTATTATATGTCGCACAATGTAAAAATATTTCATTGGACTGTGATAACATTAAAGCCAATAATTGTAAGTGACATTCGCTTTTATTTCGCGTTAATTATGTAATTGGGATAAGTGATCAAACGAGTTTTTCTTGATATTTAAATATAATACTTTACTAGTGTAAATTATTTAACGTTTTTTTGGCTTTTGAAAAATGTAAAAGAACAAAATTGTAACATTTCCTTTGAAAAATACCTACATCCTTTCTTGTATCAACATATTTTTCTAAGTTAAGCGATAAGTGAACTGACGTTTGAATCACTAACAATAAAATAGAAATATTTTTCGATACATTTCTTGTTTTTTTTTTTTTTAACGATAAATAATGTCAATATATATTTTGAAAAATAAAAATCTTTATGAATAAATAATACATCCCTCTATAAATTTGTTTTAATCGTATTTGTCCATTTAAAAATACAAATTCTTATCGTTTTATCGCATTTGTATGATTGCTCGGATAAAATTGTAAAAAAAAAAAAAAAATTATAAGACTCGTTTATTTCTATATAAGAGTATTGCATACATTAGTTCGTATATTTGTGTATAAATATATAAATATATGCGGTTTTTATATGCTCATATGATCGTTCGAATTTTTCGACAAGTTTAGTGCGTTACTCTCTTTTCCCTCTTGTCTCGGACTTTGCTCCTCCGATAGTGAAATGGTTCGTTCGGCTTCTCTGACTTGGTTTATCCCAGGAATTCAGTTTATAACCGCTGACTCCACTAAGTTTTATTACATCTTTCTCTATCTGTTTCTTTATCCTTTGTGCTCCACCTACTTTTTTACTCTTTTTTTTTCTCTCTCTCTCTCTCTCTCTCTCTCTCTTTTCTATTCTATTCTATCATCACCGTTCCTTTTCTAATGAATAGTTTTCTCCAACTTATCTCTCTTATTTTTGTTCGCCGAAATGAAATTGCTTAACCTTAATTTAAAATCAAATAGTGATCTTACCGAACGCGTTTGTGTTTAATTTATGTATTTACCTTTCCATTGAAAAATCGTTGTTTTTTAAACGAAATCGATACCTCATCGATAATTTATATCTCATAAAATAGAAACAATCAAGCCTAATAAATGTGTTTAGATAAAATAAGTAATAAATTATTTGAAAGAGTTTTAATAAATCTATCCTACGTAATGTATAATTTATTTAAATAAATAATAATATTATTACAAATTTTTAATCGATAACAATAATAATAATAATAATAATATTATTATTATTAAATTATTATTTATTAAATTTATTCGACATTTTGTTTATTTAAATCTCGATCGAAAACGTTTTTCAATGAGGGTCTAAGATTATAATGGTTATTTAAAAGTAGATATTTTTATAGAAGAACGTCATTCGTCTATGAGACATCAATTTGATTCTCTTCGGTCTTTAGAAATATCGTCCGTTTATTTTCAAGACGCGTCGTATCTTCGCTTGGAAGCATAAGATAGTCCAGGATCGTTCAGTCGAGCGTGAGAGACACGATCGTAGCCTGCGTTGAGGTTTTTTCTTTTTTTTTTTTTTTTTTTTCAATTTTACGACGTTGCTTCGAAGTAGTTATGCGAATCCGTAGTGTTAGTCACTTGGCCGGGCCGGGCTGGGCCGGGCCTTTCTTCTCCAGCTACTTCTCCCTTTCTTACTCTTTTTGCTTCTCTCTTTCTCTTTTCCTTTTCCGCGAGTCACCCTTTGTCTGATTCGCCATCGGCATCGAAAACGAAGAAGACGACACCGGCGTTGGCACTGATGCGTAAGTTACGATTTTCCAGAGCATCCTGCGATACAATTCGCGAGACGTAAAGAAAATTCACGGCTTTTAACGGAATAACGAATAATACCACGACGATGGTTCGACGACAACGATGACGTGACCTTTCCTTTTCTCTCTCTTTCTCTTTTTTCTTTTTTTTTTTTTTGATTTACATCCCGATCGGTCGTCAATGCTCCTTACTTTTTACCTACCGCTGCTGCATCTTTTTTTCTTAACTTCTTTTTTCCATTTTGATAAAATTAGAAATATATTATGCATGTAATATGTATTTATTTATTATATAGAATTTATTCCAAAATAATTGTACTATTATATTACATTATATTTAGTTATTTTATACCATATTATAATATTGAAATTCTGTGAATAGCAACAGGACCTCCTTATTAAT